CTTAAATGAAAAGGGTCAGAAGCCATCCTCACTTCAAAGACAAAAGAGGACCGGTCACACCTCGTTTACTCGTTTACTGACCCCAGCACGGCGTTACAGAGGAAAAGGAGGTGAGAAAGAGGCCAAATAAAGAAGATCCCTCATAACTCTGACCTCCAATCACTGGGATCTGGAGATGTTCTGCTCCAAAAGCTGATTATTTATCACACAGCTCACTAAAAAAGTCTGTCCACCTCTAATAATTCATACATTACTCATTATTTTCCTCCATTTTGAAAAGATCATTTCTGTGTTTTCTGACACAGAAAGCATAAAGTTCCAACACATCACTGTTTGGTAACGTTTGGATTTTTGGTCGTTGACATTTGAGGAAGAAATAAAATAATCAGACCTTCAGAAGGGGAAAAAATTAGTTAACCCTGTAAAGCCAAATGTATCATATTTGATTCATACGGTTTCTGAAATGTTTTGCGTCTGACACCTTTTGCATAATTTAATGGTAAAAACTTTGCTCAAAATCCTATTGTACACAATCAGATACACCTGATAACAGGGGGCAGAAGACTACCCAAAAAATAATCTTGACTTATCGCATAGTAATAAATTATTAATATAAAAAATGTATTTCTGTTTTTTCTTTTTACATATTTTGTTAAAAGGCCAAATAAGGAATTCAAACAAAAAAAAAGTAATTTTCTGTTTTGTTTTATTCTTGGATCAGGCTTTAAAGGGTTAATTATTCATACATTACTCATTAATTTCCTCCATTTTGAAAAGATTATTTCTGTCTTATCTAACTCAGAAAGCATTAAGTTCCAACACATCACTGTTTGGTAACATTTGGATTTTTGGTCGTTGACATATGAAGAGGAAATAAAATAATCAGACCTTCGGATTGAATACTTAATTGATCTCCAAGGAGAAATTGGAGAAGGGGAGAAAATGAGTTAACCCTTTAGAGCCTCATCCAAGAATAAAACAAAACAGAAATGTACTTTTTTTTTGTTTTAAGTCTTTATTTGGCCTTTTAACAAACTATGTAAAAAGGAAAAACAGAAATACATTTTTAATATTAATAATTTATTTCTATGCGATAAGTCAAGATTATTTTTTGTGTAGTCTTCTGCCCCCTGTTATCAGGTGTATCTGATTGTGTACAGTAGGATTTTGAGCAAAGTTTTTACCATTAAATTATGCAAAAGGTGTCACACGCAAAACGTTTCAGGTCCGTATGAAACAAATGCTTAATGCTTTCTGTGTTTTCTGACACAGAAAGCATTAAGTTCCAACACATCACTGTTTGGTAACATTTGGATTTTTGGTCATTGACACATGAGGAGTAAATAAAATAATCAGACCTTCAGATTGAATACTTTATTGAACTCCAAGGAGAAATTGGAGAAGGGGAGATAATGAGTTAAATAGAACCTGAAATGTACAAAACACGACGTTTCTCATCATTAAATCCACATTTTGCTGCTCTG